CATTCCTCGAGGCAGCGGCCGAGGAGGGGGAGTTGCAGCCATTTTTAACTCTAGTCTGATATTGGGCTTTATAAATAAAATTGAATTGAATTGAATTGAATTGAATATCACAGACATTATCCAGATATTTTGCATCAGCACTAGGCGGTCTATAACAGCACCCAACTAATATTGGTTTTATATGAGGTAGGTGTACCTGTAACCACAGGGCTTCTATCTCATCTATGATTAAATCGTTGCGTATTTTTGCTGGAATATAACTCCAGATGTAGATAGCAACACCCCCTCCATATTTATTTCTATCTTTCCTGAATAGATTGTAACCTTGTATAGTGACCTCTGAATCATTGAATGATGAGTCCAGATGTGTCTCTGATAAAGCAAAAATATGAATATCATGTAGTTCAACCAGGCTGCATATTTCATGTATTTTGTTTCTCAAACTGCATACATTCAAATGAGCAAACGACACTCCCTTCTTTGGTAGTTTTAAAGTTGTTGATTGAAGAGAAGGCATGGCATCAGAGGGAAATTTATACCTTTAGAACCTTCAATTGTCTCTGGGTGGCTTTGGGGTACTATTGCGGGGGTGAATTACCAGTTGGTCGTGCCTCAGAAAGGCAATTTCACCTCTCGCCCGAGCCTCCCTCAACTTAGGGAGTAGTTCTCTCCTTTTCATACGCACAGCATCAGTGTAGTTCTCATTAATGTAGATCTTGGACCCCTTCAAATTTTTGGCTCTCTCCTGAACATTTGATCTGTCCTTGAACTTAGAGAACTCAACCACAATGGGTCTAGGTCTTCTGCCCCCTATGAACAGTTTGCCAGTGCGGTATGCACGCTCAATTTCAATGTCCCTATGCAGCTTGAATTTATGATAAGCTATTATGGCAAGGCTTAACTATACAGACCAGTGAGCAGTGATAACTAACATGTCTTTGGGGTCATCGGGTGGGAACCTCCTTTCACCAGTGTTTCATCTAGTTGGTCCCACGACACCTCCAGGAGGCTAGACAGTGATCTCTGGCGTCCCAGAGACACTCCCCTAATGCCAGGTCTCACTGCTCCCCACACCAACCCAATAACCTCCTTTACCTTACTTACACATGGCTTTCTCAGCCCAAACAGCACTGCCACCTTCAACAAACCCAGGCTCCGTACATGTGAGCTCCAGGTAGAAGCAGTGCTGATACTACCTTTCCTGTCACATTCACCATACTCTATTTCACACACTACATAGCATAACTACAATATAAGCTAAAGTTAAAGGAGATAAATAAACTCACAGGATCAGCAAACACACTCACCTTGCAGCATGGTCTCAAACAAAATGGATTCCAATAGGCCACTCCCACACTTAAATAACCTTCCTCTTCCTGGATTTTCTCCTGAGAGGAAGTGGATCTCTCCACCTGATCTCAAGGAGTTACATAGATTTCATCTTAGATTTTATCAACATCTATTTCTAGCTCGTTGTAGTCTTGTTTTTGTCATGGAAAAAAAGTGATGTTGCAGCAGCCCAAAGCTACTGTCATTACCGTCTGTCCTGGATCTCTCTCTCTCTCTCTCTCTCTCTCTCTGTCTCTCTCTCTCTGTCTCTGTCTCTCTCTCTCTGTCTCTCTCT